CTGTAAATTAACATTATCGCCCTTGATGCTTGAAGAATTTCGGGGTGATCGAGGCGTCCGGAGCGAAGTTCACAGCGTTTCGCTTCTAGCGGATTCTTTGGTTGGCGTAACTCGCAGACACATTTTGGATTGGAGGGTTGAAGCTGAAATCTGGCGAAGAGATAGTGCAACATCTCATTGATAACCGTCGCTAGTTAGGAGGGATTTTCAGTAGACTGGTGTTAATTCCAGTTTGAGATGGAGGAAGTCGCGACTGGCAGCCACCAAGTTGCAAGCCTTGTCTCCCTTTCCTCTCTTAACGGCCTCCGGCCAAAAGTAACTTTGTAAAAAGACGTTTGAGACGGCCCATGAAGGCTAAAAAATATCAAAAATGCGCGGTTAATAATTTATTGAACTTAATTGAGATATTGACACCAGATGCAATTTATATATGTAATATTCAGAGCTTTAGTCATAACCCTTAGAGATTTTGACATGAGGACATGCCACTCCGTGCTCCGCTCCTAAAACCCTTAAGACCGCCCTGGCGAGCATGAGCAAAATTCTACGTTCAAGTAAAGGAACAACTAACTCACAAGAAGGAATGCCCAGTGATAACAATTTCGAAGAAGTAACCCGACTATTCAAGAGTTTGGTGGTAAAAGTCAATAAGCTTGACTCGGACAGCCAAGGCCGCCATGATGTCTTGTGTCTTAAGCTTCAACAACTCGAGTCCAAAACTGCTAACCTGTCGGGTGAGATTCACGACCTACAACAAGGGCTTGATTTTACTAATAAGGAGGTGGAAACGTTAAAAGATACCTTGAGTAATAAAGTGGACTGCACTCGGATTGCCATATTGGAAAAAAGACTCGAAGACCTCGAGAACCGATCAAAAAGAAACAATATTGTCTTCTGGAACATTCCTGAAGGCGCCAAGAAAGATTCTTCCTGTCAAGACATCGTGAGCAGTGGTCATAGAAGAATAATTTTCCCGTATAAGAGATACATGTGATAGGGTACCCTCCATCATTCACTGCACAGAGTCCTTTCAATCACTCGAGTTCTTTATCGATATCTGGAAGATCGATAGATATTGGTCTGGAAACAACCTATAATGTGGAGCCATCTGCTAAAAACAACACTTCCGACGAAACTGCGCATATTCTTGTAAACCAGCGTCAACCTTAAGATGCTTGTTCCTACTGAGACACATAAGATATGAACATTCCCACTAACAAGAGTCTTGATTTTATTGCATCTATCTCACGTTGTTTTAGGTGAAAGAATGAATATCATGCATAGGTAGTTGACTTTCTTTTCTTCTTTTTAAACTTTCAGGAAACAAAAGGAAACGAAAACGCGGTGCCACTGAACGTTTCGACATAGAATCTGGTCAGCCTTTGCGAAAATCCCCATGTTTCGCCACATGGAGGCAGAGGAACATCAAACTGAGTCACCTTTAACAAAGGTGAAGATTGAGCTTCCGAATCTACCCACAGAGGATATGGGTGAACCGACTGACACAGCAACAGCACATTTTTTCTAGTTTATGGTTGACTGAAATATTTACTCGTTCCTGAAAAACCCGCGATTCGCTACTGTTTTAAATTCTAAAACATTGACATTAAGAATAAGCGGTTGACTCTATTTGCAAATGATAGGAAAGACCAGGAAACGAAAGCGTAGTGCTCGACAAAGTTTAGATACATCTGATGAGTCATTACGAAAATCGCGACGTTTAGTCATGGAGACAAATGCACCACAGGTTGAATCTCCACGAGCTGAAGGCGAGAAAGAAGATGTTTGTGACTTATCTCAAAGGAACATGCTTAGTTTTGGGTCTATGGTTGACTGAAATATTTAATTAATCTGTTACTCAGCGAACCACAACTTGATTTTACCGAGTTTTTAATCGCCTAAATATATCATTGGACAAAATCATGCGTGCAATTATCTCTTGGATGACTCATAAACGTCACTGGAGGATGATGTTAAGCTATGCAGAAAAGACAACTTACACAGCGTCAAGACTAGTTTACTCCTTTGGTATCCAGGATTAGTTCGTAGTTGTTGACTTAGTTAAATTACATCGATAGTGTCATGTCCATCACGGATGTTTTGGAAACTTTTGTGGGATCTATTAGTGCGATTCAGTGTGATTATGGCTATGTGATTTTAATGTTACTACCATCTTTTGTTTATATTTAGAGCCATCTACTAATTTTAATGTCTCAATGCGTAATTTAAATGCCTCCATGCCTATCTTTTCCTTGAACCAGGATGGTGATCACTTACATATCCCTTCGAGGAGATTTCTGAGGTGGATGAAAGGAATATATTTGGTTTCAGGTTATTGTTGAGCCTTCTCAGAGAAAAAGGGGGAAACGTTAAAGAGCCAGAGAAGTGTGAGACGGGGATTAATTTGTTCATGAGGTATGTCTTGAGTATGAACCAAATGTGGTTCAGTCAAGCAGCCCCAAATGAGACTGAAAGTTTGTAAATGGTGTTTTATTGGGATGGGCTGTAGGAGTACCTTAAATGTCAATCAAAGAAAAATATGGACACCCAGACTTTTCCGGAACAATGGTTGCATTATGACTAAACACATGGAAGGTCAGGAAATGAAAGCAAACCAATTAGCGTTGCTGTGTGCAGTTAAAGATTTCTTATTATCCTTAATATAATCAGGGTAATCTGATTTTGAAAGCGATTATATTGCAGCATTACAGATATGATCAGATTTATAACTCGAGTGCGAGTATGAGGAGAATATTTTCTTGACATTTTCGCCTCAGGCTGAAGTATGGGCACAAACTAAACTCTTCAAATGGCGACGACGACGGAGAAGGAACTAAGAGTGAAAACAACTGGACAGGATGTTTCACGAATTAATTTTCTTTTCCACAAATTATTATAACTTGAAAGTAAGAAGTATCGTGCCACTTGATAACTGGTTTAAAAAAAGGAAAGAAATGCAAAGAACAACTGTTTTCAGAAAATCTACTTGAGTCGAAACTTTCTTGTCGATAGCAACCAAAAAAACAAAACAAAACAAAAAAGGACGAAAAAAATAAAAAAGACCAATCCTCCCAGAAACAAAAACATTATCACAAAATTTGCTTTCTCAAAATAGCACTAATTGGATGCTAAAGCCGAAACTTTTTTGTTAATTAGAACAAAAAGGAAAAAATAACGATAAAAAAAGATAATCAACAAGTAACGCCAATTTTGTTTGTATTCTTCAAATGGAAACAAACCTTATACCAAAAAGGGACACTATTTGTCATTATAACGTAGCGGGCGCGCAAGTTCTACCTGTTTCCTAAGGAGCTGCCATGGTAAAAATCCTTATGAACCGCACGGCCGTGCATCATGCAATTTCACTTCGATTGAAGGTTCCGTCGAGTTAAGCCGAGAGATTTCAAAACTTTCCAATTTTTTTCCGATGTATCCTGATTGGGATAGACCTTTTGGAGCTCAAAACGGAAAGAGTATATATTAAATAATACTCGTGTCGAAAAGCAATTAGCATAAAGCTCTTTCAAGCGACGATATGAATTAGAGCTAAAAACAAAACTGAGCTTTCTGGCTTCAATTGACGCTTTACGACGTCGGTAAAGTCTATATGAGAACGGTGATTATTATTTTGAAGTGTTGGTATGTCCCAAAAGTGTTTTGCAATGGTAGATTTTGTTTTGAAATCAAGTTGTACAATTTCGGAATTTTCTATACAAGGCTACGCAATTTTCTGGTTTTAAATTCAAGCAGGGTAAATCTACCACACGGGTCTCGTAAATGCAAGAAATTAATAAGTTTTTCGCTTCGTTTTTCTAACGGTTGATATTATTTTAAGTGTTAATATTTCCTAAAAGTACCGTTCAATAGAGAATTTTTAATTTCAAAACCATACAGTTTCAGAATATTCAAATTTTTTGACACAAACTGCAATGTCGCGCCTCGAGCAACTCTAACGCTTCCCTCGTGCTCTCTAAACTTCCTTCATGCATCCATAACTCACTATACGCACGCTAAGTATGGACCAATTCTTTAATAAAAATAACATAAAAAAAATGGTCTAGAAGGTCAATCTCTGAGCAGTTGAGAGTTACGAGAGGAGTTAGTTATTTTACCGATAAGGAAGTAAGAAAGTTACTGTTTGAGTTGATTCGTTAGGTCACATCCATTGTTGTTTTGGACTGGAAAAACCTTCTCTTTCCTTTTGCCTACGAGAAATCTGGGAAGAGGTTGACGAGTCTCACGAGGAGGTGAAGTGTCTTTTTCACAGCACATTGACAACAAGGGAAAAAACGTTAAACAACGTGCTTATTCGATCAGCCAAGGTAATGCAGAGGAAAATTGACTAATTTAAAGGCAGTGACAAACGACATTATGCATAGAAAGAAAATAATAAGCGAAAAGAAAGTGGATGCAATGAAAAAGTTCCGAACCAGGCCATGGCTAAAATAACGATTAAATTAAAATCTAATTGCAAAAGTCACACAAGATTTCGGCTCCCAATGGGTCTGGGATTGACCGAGCATACAACCCTTAAGAGTAGGCTTTGAAATACCATTTTCTGTTTGTTGTACCCAAGTCTACGTCCTATGTAGAATGGGACGTTACAATTGGCTTTGCATCGCAAACAAACGGAACTCGTTCGCCGAAACATGCTGAATTAACCAAATTCCCTGATACCTTCAACTGTTTTTCTTGCCATCCCTAGGCAGACTTGAATAAGCCTCAGAAAAAGCGCGAGATAACAGTGGTCGTAACACTAATTTGTCTGCTGACGTAAGACATAATTGGTCTAATTTCAGATCACTCTAAATGTTGTGCAAGCTCCTTGTTCCGAAAATTATCAGTTGACGTGAACTTGTAACTATGGAAAGATAAATGTTTTACGGACTGACATCCGACGGACGCACCTGAACACCTGTCATTGATATTGGAGACTTTTTTCAAAAACCCTTTTTAGTCAGTTGGTCACCTGGCTGCACAAAAGACAATCGATCGATGCGATGGTTCCTTTGAAAGTTTTAAAGTCGATATTTAAGTATAGTTCATCGACTGGTTCGAGATCGCAAAATGCTATCATCCAACTAGGAGGAACTGATGGATATGTAACAGGAATCGTTATTTTCATTATTGGAGTTGTTTTCATTCTGATTATATGTATATACCTGCTTACTTTCCGCACAGAGAAGCAAAACAGAACATCTGCCACGCGGCGGTTCCCAGTTTTTATCAGTGATGGTGAAAAGAGACCAATCAAATGTCGAAAATTGAGGAAATCATCGAGTAAATTGCGTTTAACCAAATCACACAAGTTGCTGGAAGTCAACAGAAAATGGTCAGCAATGTACAGCTCGGAAAACTCAGAGGGTGAAGAAGCTGGAGTCACTGGAACATTTCCTTTTGGGCGTTTATCAGTCAAAAGAGAGAGAAAGGTCAGCTTTAGAGACAGCTTACAGGATGTGTATTATATTGAGAGCAAGGAAGAAGTGAAGAGACTTGAAAAACTAAACAACATGGGTTATAACGTGGCTATCACAAGGCCATTATGTTCCGCGCACCATCATTCGAGTAACATAACTCTTAAAAATGCGGTCTGCGAAGAGAAACAAACGGTTTCGTACCCAGTCATATGTTCAACCATAACCGATAACTATATCTTCAAAAGAAAGTTTGACAATTCCAAAAGTTTAAAGGAAAGTTGCCAGAAAGCTACAGAATTAGAAACCAAAGATAACATGCTTCTTAGCAACAAGAAGAGCGTGATCAGCAACCAGGTTTTAAAAGATGAAGGACGATTCCAATTGACACCCTTGTTACCCGAGAGTTAACAAGGGCAAGACATCTTCACTGTTTCCAAGAACTCCGTGAAATTCCATTCAAAGAATGTAGACTCTCATTCCAACTTCTACAGTACTTGAAGTAAAGGGGAATATCACTTATGTGTGACAGATTTTCCACGAAACATTTACATTTAAATTCAATTTGATTTCAAAGGCGGGATTTTCATGAACAATATTTCAGGAGCCTGAGACAAAGGCTAGCCTCATCTTCAAAGAAAGGCAGAATAGAAGCCAAGGAAAATTATTAGAATTCCGTACGCGTAAACCAGTTATTTACTTGTTTTTAGGTAATCAGCCGTGAGTTTTGCTGTATATTAACTGAAATTTTGCATCAAAAGATTCTATCCAAGGGTATTTTCTGATACTACTGCTTATGAACATTATCTCCGCAACAAATGAAAAAAAAAAAAAACGCAAATGCATCATACAACAAAGGGTTAATAAGTTTCTTCAAACGTCATGATAGAAACAAATGAACAAAGATGATGGTCTTCTTCTTCCAAGCTCAAGCTTTTTCGGCTTACAAGGTAACTAAGCGCTTCAGGTGACCTCTGGGAAATGATTACAGTGATGATTTCAAAACCAATTACTTTGCAATGAACTGAATTTTGAAAAAAGAAAAATAAAAGCAGTCAGCCTCTGGAGCGGTTACTTTTCCAGCTCTCACAGGTTAGATTGAAGGAATTCCCTCCCCACTCCGGCCTTACCTCAGGCGCAATAGGTCCTCAAATAATCTATAGTAAATGAGAACCTTGGATTAGAAAAACTGGACTCCGTCTACAGACGAAAAGTGGGCGCTTGAAGCGGGGTTAGGGCCCGAAAAACGTATCAGAGGCTGACTTAGACTGAGCCAATTATGCCCTCTTCGCTGAGATAGACAATATTCTTTCTTGAAATACGAACTGATTTCTTGAGTCGCGAATTTTGTTCTTCTTTTGACACGAAAAGCTGTCTAGGTTTGGACGCGAGAAGTCTAGGTACAACACTACCTAATGCTCAACATCATGTGATGTCATAGAATAAGAAGTCTCCTGGGACCACTGGAGTGGTGCCACTTTTCACGTGTTCATCATTCATTCTCCGGTCTGTATGCACTTTGGAAGGAAACTCTCACCTTAGGATTTGCTTTCACAGACTTTGGGCAAAATACGAAAGTCCACATCCTGCTTCTTTTGTCCCATGTCAGCTAGGAGGGATTTTGTGTAAATCGCCAATTTTTTTTCACAGGAAGTTGCTCACCCTACCCTACCCCCCGAAGAAACCTGTTAAGCCAAAGATCTTCATTGAACGAAGTTGGTTTGTGTGAAAGAAATGCAACTGATGCATTGACGTACATGTCTAAAATTCGCGTCTTTCAGTGGAATTGCAGGTCGGAAATGTACAAAGAGTGGAAGCCTAAGAATTCAGCGTAAAGAATGAACTATTTAGGTCGTTTTGTGTCGAACGTTCGAGGATTTTACAACGAGATAAACTCGGCCACTCTTACTGGAGCTATCGATGTTGTGGTGGTACGACAGGAAGATGGGTCTTACATTGGTTCGCCGTTCCACGTTAGATTTGGAAAACTTGGCGTACTCCGAAGTCGAGAAAAGATCGTAAGTATAATTGTTTCTTTTGTATTCTGTAGCTTCGTAAACCTTCGCAAGTTCTACCATAGATTTCCTATGATAATCTTCGGAGTGCCACATTCTTCATATTATATAACCTTACTCAGCGAAACATCGCTGACAAAACTGAAAACAGAAATGGGAATGAATCGCCCTGATTTTTGAACAAATATCGCCTTCAAAGGTTGTGTTAGCGCACATGGTTTAATTGATGTGATTTTCTCCGACAAAATTTGGATTCTCAAACCCAGTAGGAAAAAATACGTGATTTAGAATAAATGAGTTTTTCTGTCTCACGTCGCGTCACTCTCTTAATTTGTTTCTGTTCTCAAAACCACCGTAAATTTCGCAGACATTTTCTTCGTTAGTGGCAAAGGCGGTATGTTCTAATATTTGTAGAGCCTTATCAAATTTCTAACATCGTAGAATACGCTCTAAATTGAAAAATAGATTTCAGCGTGTAGCGCTAGCATTCTGGACAAGTAAATTAATGCATCTTGAACCTAGAGTTATTATCAACGTGCGGTGAAAGTTTATTAGGCGTTTTCCAGAGGCTGAATTCGTTCCTTTCTCTCTGTAACTAAATTTTTTGCCTTTAGCACTTGTACAAAGAAAGAGCATTAAGAGTATTTAAAAAGAACACCTAACGCAAGTGTAACACAAGATTACATACAGAAAGTTTGCAGCGTGCTGAAACTCGCGATTTCATGAGATTTGAAGCAGTTGTTGTATAACCTTGCAATATTCACCGTCTAATCTCCCTTTCTAAACTCCTACTTGTTTGTTATTGTTTGTTCTTCAATCCCATTGGCCCACGAAATGGCACTACCACATACACACCCCCAAAGGAGATAATTACAATTAAGAATAGAATGTTTTGATAGCCTTCAGTTGGCATAGGAACTCTTCAAGACATGCAAATTCAGAAGAGAAGGTGGTTACTACATTCAAGGGGCTGAAATGGGTTCAGTTCCTTTTAGGCAACAACAGCCTTTATCTTTTGTGTGTTCCCCTGTTTATGAATTCTTTGTGAACAGTGGGAAACCAAACAAACATGAAAAAATCAAAAATGCATATGAAGGTTTTTGTGGTTGAAAGGGGTTGGCCTTGGTACCCTACCAGTTATTTTGCAGCAAAGATACTTGTCATTTTATTTAGAATATTTACATTTTTCAGTATATAGATAACCTTGGAATGATTTGTAAGGGAATTTATGTTTTACCTTCTTTGCATGGAAAATTTACCACCTGAGACTGGAAAAACAAAAGCAAAATGTTTCTGTTCTTAGTAAAATTGGCATTGTTTAGAGGGGGGAGGAGGGGTTGTCAGGCTTATTGAGCAGATGCCACACGTACACACTATTGCACTGAGTATCATGCAGAGTTCCAAGCTTGAATTGTTTTGCTGACTTTGGTGGGCATGCTAGATTTTTCAATAAAGATTTACCAATTGGAAACTACTATGGGTGATTGGATGCTCTGTGTTTTGTAGCTGTGTGCTACGCTTTGATGTTTTTATTTTTGATATAACTTTTTTGTTCTATTTATGAGTGAAAGTTAAATTTATATTAAGTATTGCAAGAGTTATGATTAAGTCTAAGGCTGTTGGTCTGTTGCTTGCACCACCAAATACAACTGTTATTGTTGTGTAGCAGTTTTCCAAATTTTAAAGACAATTGTTCATCAGTGGTATAATTCATTATTGCTTTCTGGTAACCATTCAATGATGTAAGGGCATTAACTTGCAAAAACTTGTGTATGGAGAAAATTCCATTAATTCTTTGCATTGATTTATGAATTACTGGCTTAATTTAATGCATATCCATCTATTGTATCTGGAACCTTATCGTAATAAATCAATTTGATTATTTGTTTATTAAAGTAGTCCATAGGGTCACCCAATAAGTATATTAAAGAGTAAGTAATTGATTATGCTACAGGTTGATATAGAAATCAATGGAGAACCAGTGTCACTACAGATGAAACTTGGCGATGCAGGAGAGGCATTTTTCGTTGAAGAAGTAGATAATGACCCCTCAGAATTTGGTACATCCCCTGTACCATCTCCTGAGACACTTGATGATGCCAAGAAGGAGGATATTACATCTCAAGAGGTGCTTTTTAATCTTAAGGTTTTTTCTGTTTTTTGTTTTTTTGTTTTTTTGTTTTTTTTTTAATGAGATCTTCCAAAAGAATGATCTACAAAATGAATGAATGTTCTTAAAAGGGGTTATGAATGTATCTGTATTGTTTTTTTTCTTTTTTTTTTAATGTCTACTCCTTGTTTACAAGGTTAATTTCTTTGGGCTCTCCCTGTCTCCTCTAGTATGGTACTATTTACTGTACTCCACTATACAGGTCCTGTAGTGGTAGGTTAATGTAAAGGGAATAATTTAATTTTTAATCTTTACAATTTTTAAAAAGGTGTACATGTTATGTCAAAGGATTGATCTATAGTATATGATGTATTGGTAGCATTAAGTTGAAGTAGCTTTTAATTTTGATCTTTGCCCATCCTCTCTGATGCAGCTCTATAAAGGTCCTATTTTAGGGAACTGAGAATACAGGATTTAATTTTAAACACTAATATCAATGAATTACTTGTAATTGACTGTTTGATTGGCATATCAGTTATGAAGGCTAGCCCAGTAGTTATTGCATTGATATAGACATTGACACATTCTTAGACGTAACCTGGAATCAAGAAATTTCCTTTACCAGCCTTAGAAGTAAATGTTACAAGACATTCAGTTGGGAGAGAAGCTTGCAATGAGCCATTTCAATCCATTTTTGTTTATCTTTCAGGAAATTATTAGCAACACAAGCATCAGTACTAAAAACAGTGCAACTAAGCTAGCTGAAAACCCTCAAGAGAATGTTGTTGACATGTCTGTCACAGAGGAAGTACCTGCAAAATCTGTTTACCAAAGAGTACAAGCCCTAAAGGGTGAAGTGGTTTCTGACATTGGTTCAGATGATAAAATTTCAGATAGTAGTGTAGAGGAAGATAGTAAAGCCAAAGAAGAAACTCACAGTGATTCAGAAACTGGGGAGTGTAAAGAATCAAACAAAGAAGTTACAGATAGAAGAATAGTTTCTCCTGTAGAAAATAATGCAGAGTCTGACACTAATGTGGAGGTAAGACTATGAAATGACTGACATTATGTAGCTTTTGTAGTTTTGTTGTCGTTACCATGTTTGGATCCCAATTGCATAGCCTGGATGTGAAACTGTATAACACCACTTCAACAGCAGTTGGCTTGTGTCAGGAAATAACACAGTTGTGCAAATAGTTTCCAACTAGGTGCCTTGCTGGAGTAAATCCTTAAACAGTGAAAAAGGTCCTGACCAATCCTGAGACAATAAAAAGGTAAAGTCAGCTTACCAGCTGACAGTTCAGCAATACCCATTTATACTCCTGAGTGGAGAGAGGACATGAGGCACTAAGAGAAAAGTATCTTGTGCAGAAGATCTCTATATACAGGATGGGTCCATTGTCTAATAAGTGTGCAATTATTTGACTTATTACAGGCTGTGGTAAGAAACATAACTTCTAAGTCAGACAGTATTCCTATACCAGTGCGACAGAAAGCAGATCCACAAGATATATCATCTGATAGTGAAATCATGGTAATATATGAAATGATAATTTACTGATAAAAATAGCGTTAATGATTGAGTTTCCTTTGATCATATGAGATAAAATCCCAAATAGGCCTGGCCAAATGTGCTCTGCATTAGAAGAAAATGTAAATTTAATGATTGAACCTTTCTTGTGCACTGAGGACGATGGAAATGAAATGTTAAAGACATAAAAATAAATTAGGGAAGACAGGTAGATAGTAATTCATAACTGTAAATTATTCTCGACTGTTTGTTGTTCTATAGATTTAAAACCTGATGATTATTTGAACAATTACAAATTCTCACCTTGGAACTTACCCTATGAGACTATGAGTGACTGTTCAAAGCAGCACTTTTAAGCTTATATTCAATATTAGCTTACAATTGCTGTTGCTGAGCATAGCTCTATAGATCACTGACAAAGACAGTTTACTTGATGAATTGATTTCCACCTCAATATTCAGTTCAGTTCAGGCAGGTATCTGCCATTACTGACAATGCAAAGTGGCATCATCTATCTAGCTTGAGCCTGTTAGAGATGACAGCTCTTGAGTTTCTCCAAGTTCATCTGTTCATCTATGTTTCTTCTTCTGTGAATATTGACTTGTCACTGATCATGGTGTTTTGGTTCTCTGTCCAGCACACGATTCATATCAAAGCCCACTAGGACTTTGATAACAATAACAATATTGAAAATGATTTTTCCCATTAATATGTGATCATTTTCATTTTTTTAACTCTCCACATTATTTTCTGTAAGGATTAATACATGTTCTCACTTATCATGTCATTTTTGATCTGCAGTAGAGGAAAAGTAGCACCTCAATTTGCAGAGGGCAAATTTAAAGCACAAATTGTAAAACTTCATATAGTCAGTGCCTATAGGTAATAGCTTTAATGTGCATTTTTATTTTATATAGTGGGCAGGATCACACTCACCCTCCATTCCAAGTGGTTTTAAAAGAGACTTTTACCCACTTTCTGACCTGGACTCACCTATTGGCTCTCCACCTAGACATAGGTAACTGTTTTAATGTTATGTTATTGAACAAATTCCAGCAGATTATTTCCTCTTCGTATTTTGTCACACATGTACTGGTGCATGCTCCCTTGATATTTCATTCATTGATCTAACTCCTCTGATTTTTTCCCTTATTTTATAACCTGCCAGCAACAAAGATAATTTTTCTCTGCTTGGAGAAAGTAGATAAAATCCATTTTTGCTCAAGTATCTTTTTATTTAGTGACTTAATGACAAATTTTAGTTGTTGATGATTTAGAGGCTTGTGATGGTCCTTTCTAGCTCCAGAAGAAAAGTTTTGTTTAGAGTTAAATTCTCCCAGAAGGAAACCTGAAGCCTCGAGAAAATGTTGGTGAGCTTGTTGATCATAATAGACTTAATTTCTTTTGAAGACACGAGCTAGTTACCGGTGCTCCAAATCCTCAGCATTATATGAGTGATTCTGAGCTGGAGTTACATCAAAGCCAAGAGAATATAGCAAGAGAGAATCAGATCAGATGGGCTTGGGGAAAGCTTCCACAGGTATTCCTTGCTTGAAGTTTTTGATATTACTTGTAGTTCTTGTCTGCATCTGCATGCCTTCACCAAGTGGATCAAGTTTTTCATGTACATGTATATTATCCTGTATATTGTCCTGAAGTATTACAAGCCCAATTTGAAGTCCTGGACTTGTAGTAGCAAAATTCCTTATCCATCTGCATTTGGAAACAGTATTGCTGTAAGTTTGAATTAGATGGGTTGTGATAAGCAAAGCTTATTCAACTTTCAAAGGCATGAAACAAGCTGAAACAAGCAAGAATGTTGCAAAGAGTTTTTCAGGACTTGCATTCCATTGATTTACTGCAGCCAGTTTCCATTGGGAAGTTTTAAGATTAGTATGATTATTTTTGCCAGAACAAGTTTTCATGTGAAGTGAAAATGAGATGTTTTTCTCTGAAAGTTGCCAGTTGAGTAAGTAAGTAAGTAAGTAAGTAAGCAAATTGATCTAAAAGATATCTTTTAAGATTTCTGACTTTTCAGTCAATAATTGTGTGGAATTTTGACCTTAGGGTCCAGATGGACGATCACTGCCTGACAGGAAATCTTCAGGTCTGCAAAAAAATAATTGATGCAAAAAGAACTTTTTAGCACTTGTTATGATAGACACTCTTAGGGTTATGTTCTATTAGATGAGACTAGAGTTAACTCTTGAGTCTGTAATATCAGTTTGTGTATTCTCCGTACTGTTCTTTTTACATTTCCATTGGTATTGACCTGGGGAATTTGTCTAACAATTAAGAGCTTCTTAAGGGGGTGATCATTTCCTCTATTCTTGTGACTTAAGTGTTTGATTCAGCAGTAATACTTTCAGGAGAAATTAGATGCTATTAAACCTTAGATGTTAAAGGGTTTATTGAAATTTGGCACAGCTGAGTATTGGGTATTTTGTAGATCAGAGCCATTTGTAATCTGTTTGAAGATGCAAAAATAAGGCTTTTTTTACCACAAAGTAATCTCTGAATTACTTTCTGAACAGATTTAAGGAAAGAAGACATTAAACATGTCCACAAAGCAAAGAGGAGAGAAGGATCATTCAAATCACACAGCAAGGTGTAGTTTATTAACCAAGTGTAATGTTTGAATGAAGCTGTAGTTAAAGTATGTAATTACATCTTTTAAGTTCTATCTATGAAGGTTTTGCCCTTGTACAGTAGTTGCATACTGATTCTAACAGCCCCTAAAGCATGTTTAATTTAATGATGCTCCCTGAAATACAAAGGAAATTGAGCAAAGAATGCTGAATGCATAAACATAACTATTTCTTGTGCTGTTATCATGTAATCATGTGTCACAGATAAAACTTCAGCATATATTAACAGTCACTGTAAGTGAATATTATCATTGCTAGAGAAAGGCTGATAGAACTGTGAGATTAGTATGTAAGTAACAAGAATTTTTAAATCCTTAGTCATCTGTCATGCTGATATTTTCCATGCTATGCTCAGGATTAGTGTTTAACTTACTTTGTAGTAATTCTCTGTTTGATTGCCATGTCATATTTAAAGTGAACTTTTCAACAGGTTGGTGGCAAGGAAGGAATTCTCCTGGATGATCTCAGGACTGTAGACCATGAAGTAGCAGCTCTGTACCTACATCAGGCCTTGTAAGGGTTCACTTTGACATCATTTTTTCATAACATTAAATTACCAGTAAAAAAAATTAGTGGAAATGTAATTTAAGAGCTCTTGCAGTAGTGCGCTCAGTCCATTGTCAAGTTCTGAATTGACACTTCAATTTATGATTACAGTGGAGTTTTTGTATTGTGTTCATTTGCAAGAGAATCTGCTGACTCTCACATTTCGACCCTCCAACATACAAACTTGACAGAACTCATGGAAAATCTTATAACATTTATGAACATCTCATCTAGGAGAGTACCAATTACTACAGTATGGCACATATGCACTGCAGCACCACATCTGTCTCAAGTGTACACACTCTTTTGAATTAAAGAAAAATTGTGTTCACAAAACATTTCCAAAACTGATTGTAAATTGGCTGTTCAGTACTCTAAATCAAGCAATTAGAACTCATTAAGGGGCTTCAAGACAAAGGTTCTTACAGTGAAACAAGAAAGACTGTGTATTGGGCATTGCACTAGAAGTATTTTATAATTTTACCAATGTTAATGGTAGATCAGCCTAGAAAAATATTTGAGCTCCAGAGAGGAAGATGTCACCGTAACATCTTTCTTGAATTTACAGAGACTCTAAACTAAAACAGCAACAACAACAACACAGTGGCTCAGGATCTGAAGACAGGGAGTCTGGTATAGGACAGTCATTGCCAAGTTCACCCATAGCTGGGGAAGGACCAAAGGAAACAACGTAATTATTACTATAACTCAGTACTTTATGGCTGTAAAATTGCATTCTTGTTTTTGTTTTATGTCCCAACCTTTTGCCTCTAATACATTGATTCATAATTTTCCCATCTTGGTGCTTTAGTCTTCCTTGTAAATTATCGGGGGAATTTGGTGTTATATCAACATCCTTTATGTGAGGGGCTTATCTTTGATCCAGACTTCGTTTATTCCTAGTAATTTTTATTAGTGAAATGGCATCTTAAATGATAACATGAATCTCATTACTCTTTTCCTCAAACTATGAAATTTTCCTCAATAGAGAGGAATATCATGACATTGCCATGTCACTGTGTGGAGAGTTAAGAAATGGTAAAGTATCACTTGGTAAGTTGAAAAATAAAGAATGAAATGAGTGCCAGTATTGACAGCATTGAAATATTTTGAATGTGGTGTACATGTTTCAAGATGTTTGTTACATTGCTCTAGATCTTTTTAACAAATGGAACTCTTTGAGAAGTATCATTTGGAGTATTTAAACTGAAGAGTCAGAAAGCTTTGTGCCATATGTTCTTTATAACTCTAGGGCCATCCTTGAAAAGTTATTTAAAATATCAAATATCTACAAAGGGTTATAATTTAAAGTGATATGATCATATTCCTGCTGTTGGAAATGGCAGGGTGATACAATGTCAATGGGAATTGCTCAGCATAAATTGTGATGTCTTTTTGGTTTCACAGAGAGTTTTATACAGTCAATAGTGTCATTTGATGACCTGAGTAACAATCCTGCAATACTGTCAGATCCCAAACTTGTTATTAGAATCAATGACAGGTATAATTTTGTATATTATAATTTTTCTTAATTGAGATACCCAGTCTTCATATTTAAGAACTTTTTCTCATGCCTTTTTGTTTGAAAAAGTAATTTATAACTTTTTCAAACTGTCTGATTTACATTTCTTTAGCTCCGAGAATTTGAAGATGAATCAGTCAGTTTCCACAAGTGGATGAATTGCTTTATTCTTACCTGTATGCCTGACATTGTGATAATCAGTTCTTATTTCAAGGAATTGCTTAGTAGCCACCCCTGGGAGTGAAAAGGTTATGGGACACAATTAACTTTTTCAGCATTCTTCTCCACATGAGATTTCAATTGGTTATTGGAAAACTGTAAGCAGTTGTTTTAAAAAGTTTGGGCTACCTGTGATGGATTAGATGGATTCAGAGGGCATTTTCTTTATCACCAGTTTAGCTTGGAGGTCATTGTAAGCCATGTTTGTAAGCCTCTCATACAAAAATTTATGAAGTTGTATATTAACCCTTTGACCAAGACAGAATTTCTCCCAACAATATCTGTATCAATGCAATATCAAGCAGACAAGTGATAAGATTATCATACATTAGACTTGCTAAGAAAACTCTGCTTGGTTGAGAGTAAACAGTCAATCTACAGTAGCATGTGAAGTTGATGGGATAACCCAATATCTGCAGTGGATGTTGGGTTATCATGCTGAGTTCAAAGTCTGTCTAGTTGCCAACCCCATTGTCTGTGTAATGTTCTCAAACTTTGGCAAACTCAGAGAGGAGTGTCTTCTTTTGCAGATTGTTCAATAAATGTATAATAAAACATTTATTGAGTTTGGTTTTTTTGCATGATTTCAAACCTCATGTCTGCGTTATCTGCCTCAGTATTCAGCTTCAGCAGATAACTTAGACCTCAGTGCTGATAATTCATGATATCGTGCTCAACCTCATCTAATAATTGCTTGATAACACCATACCAAATTCTCTAAAGTATCATTATAAGAAGTGTATGGCAAAGAGTAAGGAGAATTAGAAATAAGATCTTGGAAGTGAATGGGTTTATATACTGTGTACACCTGTTTGTGCAATATAATGTCTTTTTAATATACTGAATAACCTTCATTTGTGTGCAGATATTACAACTGGCAGATTGCTGCTCCCATGTTGATGTCTCATGTTGTTTTCCAAAGACCCCTTCGACAAGTAAGAGTTTGGTTGAGTTCAAAAGGGTAAAATCAATTCCCAACTCTATGATATTTTGGTAGCACTTGAGTTAGTATTGGAGGGTGTCAGAGTTAGTTAGATATTTATCTGAATGTCTAGCTTGCATAACTTTTCAAGCATAACAATATTGTGATCTTTCATCTTTTAAAATTTCAAAGGTAAAATGTAAGGGGTTTACATATTCTTGGAAGGGTACCCTTGTTTTATGGTTTATTACATCCACTCTGACTGGCTTTCAGTTGTCTTGATGACACTGTCAGAGTGCTAGACTGTATTCGCTGTACTTGCTTATTGCTGTTGTATGGAACCAATTGAAGCTATTATTTTCTTTAGGCTTAGTTTCTCAATTCAAGCTATTGTTTTCTTTAAGGCTTAATTTCTAAATTCAAGCTATTATTTTCTTTAGGCTTACTTTCACAGTTGCTTTTCATAGTTATGATGATCTTTCATTTTTCAAAGTCTCTATTTTGCCGGTGAAATATGAGGTTAAATATTTTTTGTTTGAAAAAAAAAACAAACAAGAGAGGTTTCACAGTTGAAATTTTCTTTACAGGATACATGCCAGTCCCTGATAAAACAACATATGCCAAAGAAGGTGAGGACTAAGTGAAAGTTGGTGTGAAGTGATTCACATGATTTGCATGTTTTTCAATTCAAAGTTTTCTCCAGGCCCTTTGAATGGTGTCTCAGTACTGGGAAGTGTCCTTGTACTTTTGTTTCATTTTCTCTCTTAAAAGGACTTAATGATGTGATCATACAAGGCTTTGATTTAATAAACTTAGCTACTACCTTGGACAGTGAAATAATTATATTTTAACCTTTGGGCATCAAATACAGTGTATAAGGATAAGTTTGGGTTAAAAAGCCTATTTATTACTTCAATGTAAACCAAGCAGTGACAAGTTCAAAAGACTGAAGAAATAGCTGACTGTACCCCAAATGCGCATATTGTAATGAGTTCAATTGCACGTGCTTATGTTTGCTGCTTCTATATAGCCAGATAATTAATGCTGGCATACTTCAAACAGTATTTTGTCACTCAGTGCATCTGTAATCAACTCTTCTTTCCTTTTTTTTCCCAGGAAAAAAGAAGAAGCTATTGGTTTTCTTGGAGAGCTAATGAGGAGAAGGTAAAACAAAATTAAACCTATGTGACTTGGATGTTGTCCACCTTTAAGCAGCTCTTGTAAATTTGTGATCTACTAAGGGGTAAGAAAAACCATTAACAAAAGCAGTGGTAAATTGTGCCATTCACTTTTGCACTCAGTGTTACTTGCCTAATGATGATGTTGCTCGTCAGTATCTGCACCTCATACCTGTGTAAAATATTTCAGAGTTCAGACGAAGAGAATGAAGATATAAAGAAGGATAAGCCACGCCCAAGGGTGCATAGTAGTGGTGCAAGAAAACAAATGTCTGTGCCAGAGATGGAAAGGGAGGAGGATGACAATGAAAACAGGGCAAGAAAAGTATCTGGGTGCATCAGTGGCAATGAATCAGATGCATCCCCTAAGGAGAATTACAGGAAAGTCACAAGGCTATCCTCTGAACAAATTGTGAGTACTATTGTAGGACCTCTGAGATTTAGCCAGTTGCCATTTCTTTTAATGGAAAAATACTATTTTGCATGCAACATCATTGTTGCACTTTGCAACTAATGAAGTTGAGTCTCACTTATTTTCTTTGGTGGCATTTCGACTGAAATTCCACATCTGCCGGAACTGTAAACATCAGCTCATAATCAACCAACTGGTTGTTGAACTTTTTCATAATGAAGAAACAGTGGAAGATGATGTACTATTTCAAAGGAAGTTACATGGTCTAGAAATGTGATTCAGAGAAGAAATTATACTCCCTTATCAGTGCGCAAATCTTTTTTCTCTATAGATACTACAGGGCCCTTTTTTTTGCTTGATAAGAAATAAACTTTCTGCTCCAACCAGTATAACTGAATTGTGTTATAATACCAACCTATGAAATGCTTTAACTCACTTTAAGTTTCCTTTATGTACATAGTTGTAGCACTGTAAGAAAGTATTTTTTTTGTTTGATGAAAGCCTGTGTGGCAAAATGTTTTGCACAAATAAGAGATGTTTACTGAGAATCTTGTGGACTCTCAAAGCATTAATTCCATAGGTTAAAAAATTCATTTCCATTCTCAACAGGCAAGTTTGAATCTAAAAGAAGGGGCAAACAGTGTAACATTCTCTGTAACCACAAAATACCAGGTACAGTAGTGTTTATGTAAGTATTCTTTGAAATTTACACTCATCTTGGAAAGTTTATGACATGGTTTAAGTGCATTTTGTGTATTTTAGGGCACTGCGATGTGTACAGCAACCATCTACCTATGGAATTTCAAAGATAAGATAGTTATTTCTGACATTGATGGGACAATAACCAAGTGAGTCCCTCTAAAAACTGTAGTAAATGTATTATGATGTTCAAAAACTTTTTAGTTTTTAAGCATTAAAGCTGGAAAGCTTCTTGAGTTACTCCAAAAAGTTGATGACTTATGATCGGGGCCCAGTTGTTCAAAGGATGGATAGCACTATCCAATAGATAAATCTCTATCCAGCAAATAAATGTTAACAAAATGTATAGCATTATCCCCATGGATAGAGATTTATCCAGTTGATAGAGTTGTTCAGCCTTTGAACAAATGGTGCTGGGTTGTCAAAAAATTATTCCCTGTTGTAGAGAGCAGTTCCTTTGGGGACTACCCTCACCCAAACGATCGGGCTAGAAGATGACTGTTTCTCCCATGCCCCAACCATGTATTGTAGTATTTTCATTAATAACTCACTCCTAGTGCAGGTGCAGTTGGCTAGATCAATATCGTTTGGTCACTCGTTGCACTGTGTTCTTTAACAGCATACTCAACTTGACAATAACTGATTGGCTTAAAGGCCAAAAGAAATACTGAAACCTCCAATTACATTTTGTTGGAAATAGGTTAAACCTCTACCCCCCACCCCTTCCCCCACCAATGTTAGATAGTAGCAGAATAAAAGCTGTTGACACAACATTGTATAGGGATGTGGAGGCGCAAAATGCAAAGAGAGTGAAGTTTTTCAATGCTTTTGGCCAAGATCGTAGGTCTAGCACTACCCTTGTGTTCAATGAAAGAAAGAAAGAAAGGAACTTGATTTGTAACGGGCAGGAAATGGAACATGAAATGAAACAAAGAAAATTCATTGAACTCCGAGACTCATTCAAATTTCAAGACTACTTGATTTTGTTGAAAAGTACGTTTGTTACTATTACCGATTGTATTATGATCGATTTTCTGTGGTTATCTTTTTAATTATATGTTAGATCTGATGTATTGGGTCAGATTTTGCCAGTGGTGGGACAAGCTTGGGCTCAGTCAGGGGTGGTATGTATTGATATCTATGTAGTCTATGACGTCAGTTTATTTTTGTGTGAACAGTAGGAATAAAAAACGCAGACGTTCATCAACTTGAGGATGTACTTTGATGTCAGTAAAGCGAATTCCCTTAGCCAGTCATTTCCAAGGATAGCTCTTTTGGTCCTGTGAAAGAAGAATATTTGGAAAATAATCCGGTACGGTGGAGAAAAAAGATGCAAAGTGGTTTATCTTGTATTATTTCAGGCTCACTTCTTTTGTAAGATCCAGAAGAATGGTTATAAAGTTCTTTACCTGTCAGCTCGAGCTATTGGACAGGTATGATTTGTTAATTTGATTTTCTTTAAGCTTATGCAAACAATCTTTTCTACTTTTCAGAAGTGATTTTCGCTGTGAATGAAATGGTTTTACTAGGAGTTCTGTAGCTCACTATCATCGGTGCAAAAGTATCATAAGCTTTTTAAAGTTTATTCAGTGCAGTTGCATGTTCTCTCGATCTTTGAATTTTCGACTCGGGTATTTCGAACATTCGTCTCCAGTGAATATGCAACGAGGAAGTTACCTAGGTCGTTTAAGCAGCTCGAATGATTTAAAAAATGTCGACTTTTTATGAACATTTAGGCACAGCAGACCAGAGACTACCTGAAGAGTGTAAAGCAAGATCAGCTGATGTTACCTGATGGACCGCTTCTCCTGTCACCTGAATCGCTTATCAAAGCTTTTCACAGGTATCAAAGCAACATTCAAATACAACAGCAATAAAAAATTGACCTGGATCGAGAAGCACTTCGTAGTGCTGCTCACTAACCATACGAGGAAAATCGAGAAACTCCTTCCTTTCATTTCATTTGGTTTCAATCGAACAGCTTTTTTACGCATTGCACGTGGCATCGAGATTCTTTTTCTTTTTTTATCAATTTGTCTTTATGTCTCAACTTGAATATCTTTTCCGTATTGTAAGGTTGTTTCCTTCGCAGGCGTTGTGTCATCTCGTCACCAAACGTGGCAGACGAGAGGGTGTTGTGTGACGAAACCAAACAACAGCTTTTAACGAGACAATCTGTGCGGCCGATTTCGTTTTTGAAACAGTATTTAAAAGAAATTGTTTTGTTTTGTTTTGTTTTTTGCCATTTTTCAGAGAAGTGATCGAAAAGAAACCAGAGGAGTTTAAGATTGCCTGTTTGAGAGACATCCAAAGCTTGTTTCCAACAAATAGAAATCCTTTTTATGCTGGATTTGGTAATAAAGTTAATGTAAGTGTATTTAGTTTAGCAGCTATAAAATTGATCTTTACTTTGATTTGGTGAGACTTGTTTACAATTGGTGAATTTCCTTGGACCGACAACAAATAATCTTTGTTATAGTAGAAGACATGCACTAATTAAGGAACCCTGGCGAGTAACGCAAAAAATCGTAAAACTATTACTACATGTTGTAGATAATTTAAAAACGTAATAAAATTAGTACCTAGTGCGGGGAAAAGAAAAGCAGACACCAAGCGCGGCCGGGAAAACCATAGCATTAGTACCTACTTTGGGTAAACTTGGAAATTGCTTCAAATACGGGAAAACATGAAGTAAAGGCAGATGAAGTGATACAAATAACACCGTGTGTTTTAAATAGTACTTCCTGGTTTTTATTTTTTATGGCGATGCAATGGCAAATGCGCGTTAAATTGACTTATCAATTTTCCACTTAGGACGTTCTTTCCTACCGTGCAGTCGGAATATCTGTGTCTAGGATTTTCACTATAAATCACAGGGTAAGTTTTATTTGAATCTTCTTCTTCTTCTTCAAGTTTGAAACGCCCGACCAACGTCGGAGCCCCACCAACATTTAAGTCCGAGTCACATTCGAGACCATGGAAAGTACACCAGAATCACTCATAAGCAAGCCGGCTCGTTGCTGAGAAAGTAACCAAAGACATCATAGGGACATTTTTCCCCTCGAGTCTACCTTTAATGGGCTTTTTAAACCCTTGTTGAGATCATTTAAGCAAATACTTTTTTTGAGCTTAATTAGAATATTATTGCTTTTTGTCTGCGATTGTCTCAACCGCTACGTTTAAAGGAAAGTCTGTAGCAAAAGCAAGAGGAGAGAATATTTAACGTCTGCCAACGGCTCGTTCCATAGTCTAGTGGAAAAACGAACGCCAAAAGTAACACGAATGGTAAAAGAGTCTTCAATTATTAATGGCTTTCATTATGTTATCTTTACCAGGGTGAAGTGACACATGACCTCACCTCTGCTTTTCAAACGTCGTGAGTATTTTTT